CCCCAGTGAGATCAGAGCAGGAGCAATGCCCCCCATGGGCCCTCCAGTGAGATCAGAGCAGGAGCAATGGGCCCCCAGTGAGATCAGAGCAGGAGCAATGCCCCCCATGGGCCCCTAGTGAGATCAGAGCAGGAGCAATGGGCCCCCATGGGACCCCCAGTGAGATCAGAGCAGGAGCAGTGCCCCCCATGGGCCCCCAGTGAGATCAGAGCAGGAGCAGTGCCCCCCATGGGCCCCCCAGTGAGATCAGAGCAGGAGCAGTGCCCCCCATGGGCCCCCCAGCCCTGTTGGTCCATGTCAGCCCTGTCACCATGGAAAAGGGAAGAGCTGGGGGCTTCTCCAGCTTGAGGCACTGCAGAGCTCCCAGCCACGCCAGCCCTGCCCTGCTGGGGCTCTGCATGAGGAGGGTCCTTGGTTTACATCAGCTCAGTTCAGCTGGGATGGTTCAGCCTTAAGGTTTCACAGTGTCTGTTTTTTATATTTGCCTTCCACTGGTACGTTCTGCGCTGGAGCCTCGTGGCAGCTTCGCCTGCGCGCCTTTATTTTTGTAATACAAGGTTTCCCAGCCTTGCCTGTCCTGTCCTGTGTTCCCAGGGGCCTGGGGAGGGGGTCAGCTCTGCCTCTGACTGCCCAGGCAGTGTGCAAAGAGCTTGTGTCCATGTGGGATTAGGGGAATATTCCCTAATAGCAATATTTCCCTACCCAGGCAATAGGACACATATATCCTATTCCCTGGCTACCTGTGTGTGTGAGGCTGGGGGGAAGGGGAGGCAGGGAAGGGAAAGAGGCAGCCCTGCCTGCTTTGGGGAGTGCCCAGAAGGGTCCTGCACACCAGGAGGACAAGGCAGAGGTGAGCAGGGTGCAGGCTCCTGACCACAATCCCCCCTGGAGCCCCCAAGTTTTTGGGAACTGAACCAGGATTTCAAATTCCACATCGGTGTTGCCCTGTGAGCTGCACAGCCCAGCTGGAACCTTCCACCCGCTTCCAAATGGAGCCCAGGCCACCCTCAAAATGCATTTACCAGCCTGGGGATCCCCCAGGACCAGATCCACCCCTTTGCCCTGATGTGTGCCACAAGTCTGCCCTGGACCCACCCCACTTCCAATCCCCTGGTTTGGATTGCACAGTCCCTACAAATGAATGAGCCCAGCGAGCCCTGCCAGGCTGGAGACACAAATGCAGGAAAACCAGAGAAAAGTGGCTGAGTCAGGTTTTAATTATTATTTACCTCTTTCCTCCAGGCACACTTTGTACAGCTGTGCTCAGGAACTCCAATTTGTCTTTCAAATTCTACAGGAATTGGGCTTTTCAGAGCCCCCACATAGAGCAGCAGCCTTGATATCAACATCCCTGACTGATCCCATCAGCTCTGCCGAGCACGTCCCGTCTGGGAGAAGCCATGGAAACAGGAGATAAGGATGAAAGAGGGAGGAAGATGAGGATGGGTAGTCCAGAGGAGGAAGAGATGGCACAAATAGCCCCTGGTCTGTGTGGTGCTCCCCCTCCTCAGTACAGCAGTGACACAGGTGACATCTGATTTTGGGGACAGCGCTGGCTGAGTGACCACAGGAGCCTGATGTTGGACAAGTTCATTCTCCTTTCCACTAAAGGTCTGTTCAGAGGGCTCCTGGGACACGCAGCCACCATGGGGACTGTGCACACAGATTGGGATTGCCACCCCAAAACAGCCACCCCTGAGCAGCCCTGCTGAGGGGCTGTGATGCTGCAGGCTCGGGGCCCCTTCCCTGGCCCCTTCCTCCTTCAGAAGGCTCAGAAAATGAAAGCAGAGCCCTCAGTTCCACTTCCTGCCTCTGGCTGGCCTCACTTGCCATCCCCTCAGCTCCCAGGCTGCTGATGAGCAGCATTTTAACAGTGCAGGAGGATTTTAGGGGGGTAGGGAAGCATGGAACCCCCAGGTTTTTAAAGTTGGGTTTTCAGTTAGAAAGAAAACATTACACCAGAGAAATAATGATCTTTCCTTGCCTCCTCCTCCCTCTTTGGGAAGAATCTCCTCAAAGTGAAGGTAACAGAGCTCCCAAGTTGCTCCTTTGGCAAAGCAGGAGCTGGGGGCTCTGACACACAGGGGATGTCAGGAGGTTTTCTCTGGTTCCAGGACACCAAATTCGCTGCAAATCACTGCTACAGTCAGTGCAAGACATCCACATTCCTCCACTTCAGCTGGAAGGGAGCTCATGGTATCTTCCACTTGTCTGAAACACAGAGGCTTTCCTTCTCCAAATTTTCACTTTTTAAAAGGACAGTGACCAAATCAGGCTTTCATATAAATGATAATTTTATTGTAAATAAAATGATACATTGGCCTGGCTTTGCACTGCAAGCCCCTGGTCGGTAAATAGAGACTACTGGGTCAAGGTCTTCTGCACAATCCAGGTTAAAGCCCTTTCTCCCTGCTTTGCATCATTTATGGTGATGATAAAATCCTTTTCTTCCTTTTTCAGCTGCTCCTGGCACACCTGCCTTCTCCCTCCTGCTCAGTCTGTGTTGGTAACTGAGTGCCAATGGCAACTCTTTGGAGCAGCTTCCAGTCCTTTGGAATATTATTCCAAAATAGGCAAAACAAAACCACCCCCAAACCCCATCCATATTGATGCAACCTAACTGCCACAGAATGGGCAAAGATGGGATTTTCTGGAGAACAAGCAAATAACCTGGAATGCACAGAATCGTCACACCAAGACCAAAATGTCACTGCTTTGTTTCCTCACTGCCACATTCCCCCAAGCTCCTCTCCAATGGGAATCTTGGACATTTTTCTGATTAGTTTTAAATGTTTGAGGACATTGGGACTCTGATAAGAAATTCTTTGTCAAATATTCTCCATTTCTGCAGCACTTTCCATCAGGGACCCCAATACTCAATATTCCCTGTATATCCCTCCCTGGAAGGAACAGCAGGAAATCCAACATGACATTTGGAATTGACACAATAGCTTATTGTCAGCCTGGCACTCCTGCCCTACTCTTCCCTAAATGAGTTTATTCCCAGTTTCTTCCTAGTCTGCCAGGATAAAGAGGCCAGATATAATTCAATTCTGAGGTATAATTACATTTCTGTCCACTTGAAACTCTTTTGCTGCCAGGGCTGTTAAAAGCCTCTGGTATCAATGTCAGCCCCAAGTTATTAATCAGAGCAGTGGACTCAGGAATCCAGATCTTCCTTTTCCACAATCAAGAGGCTGTGAGGAAACAAAGAGGCATTTTGGCTCAGCTCTACTCATTATAAACCATCAGCAAATTCTCTGCAAAACCAGCTGCTTTTTTTCCTTTTTAAATTCATAAAGGCGTCAAATTTATTTCCCCACCTCCCCCCCCCCGCAACCCCATAACAGTCGATATATATAAAAATCACCAAATATGATCTTTTACGATATAAATTAAAAAAGAAAAAAAAAAAATAAAATGAGGCATCACCGTTTACATGATGTAAAAAGAGCTAAAAAAGAGCGATATAAACTACATTCATAAAAGTGCATCTCCAAACATACAGGCAATGCTTTGGCTTGTTCCTGTGCCGAACGCGCCAGTCCGGGCTGGCCCCGTGTTCTCTGTCGTGTCCAGGGGGTGCTGCTCCCTCTCCCTGCCAGCCTGGCCACAGGGGTGGGCACAGAGGGGGCACAGCCAGCCCAGGGCAGGGCTCTGAGCCCTGGGGACAGCCCTGAGCCACCGCCAGTCCTGGCTGCTCCTGCTCCTGCCCTGCCCTGCTCTGCTCTGGAAGCACCTCTGGCATGCGGGTGAGGTAAAAGCCACGACAGCTCCTGAGGATTGAGGTGCTTGGACACAAGTTCTGCCCTTCCCTCACGCCCTGCTCTCTCCCAGATCACAGCACGTGGGAAAAACCAAGGGAGAAGGTCTGGGTTTGGTGAGGACAGGCCAAGGACAGAGGGATGCAGATGTCATGGTGCTCCTGATTCCTGCAGGTGATGGGCAGGGGATGAAGACTCCAATCTTTGGTATATTTAGGATGCAAGGCTTGAAGAGCTGGTGCTGATCCCTTCCTTTTGTCATGCAGACTGCAGGGATGGTCCCACAGGTCCAGCAGAGTGGTGGGAAAGCTCCCCAGCTCCGAGCTGCAGTGTCACAGCTCACAGTGAAGTCAGGCCAAGGGCTTGGACAATTTAGAGTCAAGTTCCTGGTTGGGAAAAGAGCAGTTGAAGTGCTCTCACTGTAATTAAATAAATTATGGAACAAGGGCTTTCATAAAAGGGATCCCCTAAGTGCCCACAAGTGGGACAGTGCATCCTTGGAGTAGTGCAGGGAGCCTGGAAAGGAAACCAACACCAGTTTTTATTGGCTACACTTTGCTCTGGGTTTGGCACAGAAAAAACATTTCATATCGTTAAAGCTTTTCAGGACTTTTGGTTGGTTGGGGCTTTCAGGGTTCTTTTTTCCCCTCTTTTAATTCAACACAGTATTTTTCATGTGTTGAAGGAGCTTGGTTTCATTAAAACTTGCCTTATCCTGCTATTAGTATTCACTTAAAAACTGAATTTTACTGCATTATGAAGCAATTTTCAATTTTTTATGGGGGAGAAGAGTGGAGGTGTGTGGAACCTTAATATGGTTTCCAATACAAGAGCAGAACACCTTCGGTGTTGCCCTATAAAGCAATATTTTAGTTAATTAACATTTGCTTTTCTTCGTTTCATTTCTCAGAGATAACTTGGAATCACTCCACGAATCCCCAGCACTTAAAACCTGCTGGTCTTTCATGAGTGAAATAAAGATAAATTAGAGCCCAAATCAGCACAGAGGATTTGAGGCCATCAGGTCTGACCTGTGCTGTGTTCCAAGTGCACAATCACTTGGATTTGCTTTGCTGGTACCTGCGTGGGGATCTCCAGGTAATTTTAGATATTTGTTACCATTTTAAATGTTGTCTGAGGTTCCCTGTTTGACTTGTGTCCTACAGAAGCTTATTTAAGTTAGGCCATAACATTTTTATGGAACTCTTAAATGATCACTTGCACACCTGTAATTCAAACAATGCACAGCAAGGCTCAGCTTGATTCCAGCTCCCTGTGCACAACACAAGTGTCCAGGTAATTCTCCCCAAGAAACCCTCAATTTTCCATTTTCCATGTGCTCCAAGAAACTCTGAAGTAATTTCATGGGTACCAGACTGACTATCTTTGGTTAAAAGGATGGTAAAAAGTTACCAGCCAAAGAGACAGATGCAGGAGGAAGCTGAATTCCACAGAATTCCCTTCCAGAGGGGTTTTGTTTGGACCCAGCAGCCCCAGAGAGAGGAAGCAGGAGCACAGATTTGTTTGGTATGACACAAAGTGGCACTGTCTGAATGCTGGGACAGATCAAACCTAGCTCCAGATTTTCCAATGTTAATGGGAGAGCCCTTCCCTCAGGCCCTGGAGTGATTGCATTCTGCTGAAACTTGTCTGATTATCCTGACATTTAGCTGGAAAGAACTCCCTCACCCCCAGCCCCAAATCCATGGGTTCATTATAAAATAACACTATTCACATACTTTTGAATCAATATCTTCTGAACACCTTCAGATGCTGAATACTCAAGAAGAAAAATATACCATACTATAGTGGGCATGACATGGCACATGGCTTTTTGCTGGATTCAGGTACTGGAGACACCTCTGGAGCCCCAGGAAGGAAAAACCAGGGACGCCACAGGCAGAGCTGGTCTGGAGCTGGTGCATGTTTCTGTTTTGGGCACAGTGGAGCTCTTCCAGCTCCCACATGGGTTCAGGTTTCTCCTATGGTTCAACCAGTGATGACACTTGTCAGATTCCCCTTCCTGCAGAAAACACACAGCCAGGTAACAAAATCTGGGGCAAAAACGCAGCTCTGCTTGGACAGCTGTCGGCAGGATGAACATTAATCCAGCACAAGAAGGAATCAGGCACGAGAGCAGACCCAAAGTTCCTTGGCAGAACTTCCCAAAGGACTAGGCCTAGCTGAGCTGGCATTCTGAAGATGCAGCACCACAAGGGGCAGTTGCAAGTGGACAAGACAGGGCACGGCGAGCCCGGCAGGAGCTGCGAGCAGGGGAGGTAATTCAGTACTGGAGCTGTGCAAACTGGTGTCTGAGCAGCTCTTCAGCAGAGGGTCTGTGCCTGGCTTCCACAAAGATCTGCTTTAGGAAGTCCCGGCAATGTTCTGATATGTGGGAGGGCAGCTGCGGGTTGGTGGGCTGCGTGGCGATTTTGAAGATGGCTGCCATGGCCTCGTACTCTGCCCAGGGGGGCTTCTCTGTCAGCATCTCCACCACGGTGCAGCCCAGGCTCCTGCAAAGCACACAGGAAAAACCAAATGAGAATTCACTCAGTGATGCCCAGAGCTCAGAGCTGCTTTTCCTGTGCCAGGAAAGTGCCATGTGTGCTCTCCCCTTTGCTCAAATCCTCCTCTCAGGAAACATTTGTGTCAGAGGTGCCAGTGGGACATCCCTGACCTTGCTGCTCCTCCAGGTGCTGCTGCTTCTGTTGTACCTCAAAGGCACTTGGAGAATCACAGAGTCACAGCATGGCTTGGGTTGGAAGGGACCCTCAAGGCCACCCTGTTCCAACCCCCTGTTCCAACCACCTTCCACCAGAGCAGCCTGCTCAGAGGCTCAACCTGCTGAGCTGCAAGGTAGAACTCTGCAGTTCTTTTTAACAGACACTCAAGGTTCAGTGAATCAGAGCTTGTTGACCCCACAAAGCCATTTCAGCAAAATCCCTTCTCAGTCACACCCTCAAAATGCCCATGTTGGGAAAAAAAAAAAAAATAACCTAATAATATCTCCACAAGAAACCAAGCATCAGTCAAAAAATAATTGAAGTGGTAACAGTTCCAAAGTGGGAAGGCAGTAAGTTAAATCCCTGTGGGACAGATGCATCATTACCTTAAGGAAAAATTCCTTGTAAAGTTAATGGGGCTCTGCAGGCTACTTCAGGGCAAGGACATGGCTGAGCCACCTTTCTGAGGCAACGTGACTCCAACACCTTCCAGGGAAGATGGCTGCTGCAGCACTGCACTGATTGGGGTTTATTCAAAAAGCATTAATTGCTTCCTCCAGGCCACAGATTAAGTAAAAGCCATTAGTGAGTTTTTAACATCCAATCCTGTGGTTTTATCACATCTTTACATTAAAAAGGCAAAACTGCCTCCTCTACCTTAAAACTAAACCTACTTTTGAAGTGAAATGCAAGGAAAAGGATGTTGAGAAGCAGACTTGCATCAACTGCCAAGACAAGGAGGAAAGGAATTAAATGCAGTGAATATGCAAGAACTGATTTCTCGACAAGGTTTAAAATCCAACGTGAAAATTTTACAGTTTTCCAGCCATTTCAGGCTTACTAGAAGAGAGTACAGAAAATGCAAACCATGTGTGCTGAAGTGCTGGGGGTTTGCTCAAAAGCAAGCAGGGATATATTATTGTTTAGACTGATTTATACCGTTTAAGCAGATCCGGTTTCTTCAAGATATTCAGCAAACAGCAGGAATGTTTTTCATGTCAAGTCACTCCAGCAATAACAAATAGCTCACATATTCTGCTATTTAGGAAAAAGAAAACTGGAGAGGGGCCTGCAGCAGTGGCACAGAGCCAGGTGGATGGATGTGTTACGTTTCTGAGCCTCTGGGCCATACACATCCAGCACTGCACTGGAAAATTGTGACCCCCCCAAAATAATGATTGGGATTGTAGGAACTGGAGTCTGGCCAACGGCAGCGACTCTGTGATGGGAATGGACCAATGTCAGCACCAAGAGGAAATCCACAACTGCACCAGCCCAGGGGGAAGGGCACGTGCTCCGCTCTCTCCCCAGCCATCCCAACTGGGAGAGTCTGCAGGACTTAACTCTTTGCAGACAAGACAAGTTTCAGCTGTGTTTCCACTTGCTGCTTGTACAGGAAACAGGTCCTGCTTGGCTGTGGAGGCACAACCAGACCTTTTGTCCCTGTTGTTTACTTAAGTTCTATAATCTCACCTTTTCAAGGCCCCCAAAATTAACATTTTGGCACAGGACCATTTTGCTCTTTTGAGAGAGGCTGCTCCTTGGCTATGCCAATAATAGCACAGCTACAGTTTCCATTCACACAGATCACCTCTGATCTGACCTGGATCTTTTCTGTTATTCCAGGTTCGAGCATCTTTCCTTTAAGGCTAAAATTCTATTAATCTCCAGTATATTTTAAGCATAATTCTCATTTTATATCTAAATGAATGGGCTTTCCCTAGACAACCTTCAGTTGTTCTTCTAAGGGATATCATAGAATCAGAGTCTCTTGTGTTGGAAGGGACCCACAAGAATCATCATCCCAATTCCTGGCTCTGCATAGGACACCCCAAGAATTCCACCAAGTGTCAAGGATGAAAACATTGCACCAGCCATGCAGAAAGCAAAAACACAGCTATCAGTCTGAGTGAGGAATGAGTGGGAAGACAAAATGTGCTGTTGGGTGTTAACACCACACAGCACAGCTGGCAGAAGATTATTGAATTCAAACCAGCGAATTCAATATTCTTTAACTCCTCATCCAGACAAGGCGTGAAGCTGGATGCTCAGGTGGCAGAGGGTGCAGTGTGTGCAGAGATCTGAGGGCTCACCACACGTCTGCCTTCCTGCCGTAGCCCTCGCCGCTGATCACCTCCGGGCTCATCCAGTACGGGGTGCCCGTGACCGAGCGGATGCCGGTGCCCGACATGCAGATTGTCTGCAGCCTCTTGCTGGCCCCAAAGTCCCCGAGCTTCACGTTCCCAGCAGAGTCACGGAGAATATTGGCACCTGGACAGAAGGAAAAAAAAAAAAACCCAGGACAGCTGTTTTCATGAGATCCAGCTGTTGGATCTGTAGCCTACAGAATGATAGCCAAGCACAAATACCCGTGCTCATGGTATGGCTCTTTCCCCGTTAAGCCTCAGGTGACCTGCTAAACATCATTTCTTTAATTCAGGTTGTAGACAAGCCAATTGCTAATGGCTGTAAATGGGAAAAACTTCAGGGAAAAGCACAAGGAAGTGAAGGGGGGAGGGAAATGAGAGCTGAGTCAGCACCAGCATTGTTACAGTGCCTGTAAACAGCTCGACCAGCCTAGCAGGGCCCCCAGGCCAAGGGCTGAGGGAGAACAGAGCTGTGTAGAGAAGGATTTTATTGGGATGCTGCTTTGTGAGTGCAAGCATTGCTTTCTGGTCAGCTGGGCAACAGATGTAGCTAATTAAACCCCTCTGAACTCCTACAATAAACAAGTCAATCTCCACTTGGTCCTGAACACGAAGCACCAGGGAAAAAGCAAACTTTAGAGCTTAGCTTTTATGTGGACACAAACTGAGGTTTAGACACCAAAACCAATTCTTCCTCCAAAACTGCAACGAAATCAAGAACAACCCCACTGCTACCATTATGTGGAACATGCCCACATGAAACCCTTTTGCTCTTGTGCTGGAGAGCTCTCCTGGCCTGGCCCTGCTCTCACCCTTGATGTCCCTGTGCACGATCATGTTGCTGTGCAGGTACGAGACGCCCTCGAGGATCTGCCGCGTGTATTTGCGCGTCACGTTCTCCGTCAGGGCCCCGTACGCCTTCAGCTGGTCCTTCACCGACCCCTGCCAAAACAAAGGGACACAATTGGCAAAGAGGTGGCAAAGCTCAGACCCTGCAGTGTCCAGTCAGCTCCCAAAAGCCCTGGGTGTTACACACCAGCTGGCCCTGCAATGAACTCTGCCCTCTGCTAAAGGCTTTCTATGAGCATCTCGCCCTAAGAAGCCTTTTTAAGAACAGCAAGGCTTCATGGCAAAAACAGCTTAAGGAGGTTCTGTCTACTGGTACAACTTGTTGTGAAGACAAGCAATAAAACAGTTCAGCACACTTATCTGGGTCAGAAGCCTTGCTTTTGGAGTGTCAGTTTTAGCCTTGCTGTACCATGATTCTGCTAATTCAGTTACCAGGATTTCCATGTTGGCCCAAGTCCTTTGGGGTACTTTGGTAGAACAAATTTAGACTGAAGAAAAGAACTGTCCTTAATGACTGTCACAGAATGTATTTCAAGTAGAAGACACTTAAGGAAAAAACCCAAGAGGTTATTTGGGCATAAATAAAATGAAAGTGGTGGCATTATGAACGTGAGAAGGCACAGCCCTAGGAGGTTCTGAGGCAGATGACACAGTCAGAGGGATCACAGAAATTAATAAACCAGCTAACAAACCCAGCCCCCTCCCTTCTGAGCCCTGACTGTGCTGCTCTTACCCCTGGCATGTACTCCATGAAGATGGTCAAGGTCTTCTCTGCCCGATCCCTTAAGCAGCCGTAATACTGCACAATGCGGTCGTGCTGGAGATTCTTCAGCAGCTGAATTTCACACTCCAGAGCACTCACCTCCTGTGGATGGAGGTGAAAATAACATTGCAGCCTCAGGAAATATATAATAAATTTAAAAAATAATACATTTGTCATGTCACTGGCAGGATGAGACCACTACTACACTGAGAAGTGTAATCCATGACAACACTTTATCTGCTCCTTGGAGAAGGCAAACATTACCAGGGCTTGCTGTTCATTTTTACTGCAGTATCTGCAGGTATTGGTGTGGAAGCTTTGGTAGAACACAGGCTGTATCATACATGGATTTAGTACCACAAAAACTTTGTTTCTTGCCTTGATTCTGTCATCTGCATGGTGGCTGAAAGGATTCTCCACCCACAACACAGGTATAGCCTCACTTCTCTCACTAAGCTGTGGGCAGGGAGTGTAATTATGAAGCAGCTCTGAAAACAGTGACAGAACTGGAACTTCAACCCACTGGAGAGCAAAACAAGAGGTGCTGAGAGCTGCTAAGTTTCTGTCAGCCAGTCCTGTTCTGATCACACTGATGATTTACTGGAATCAAGCCCTACAAACAGCTTCCTCTCCTATTTACTTCAAAGAATCTGCAGCTCTGCACATGAAACTGAGCCTCTGCTTTGCTCTTGCCACAGACAACAGGGTATCACAGTGCAAAGACGTTATCCAACAATTTCACATGGAATCACAAATGTTTGCTGCTCAGAAAAAGTATCAGGTTCTTGCTGAATCCAGGGATTGAACAGGAGGAACATCAAAGGTACAGAAGCGTGAGGATTTACAGAAAAAGGAATGTTTTCTCCCCAAATTAGTCCCATTTTTACCTTTCCAGCCCTGCCATGGGAAGGTATCAGGTTCAGCTCTCTCACTCTGGGAGAGGATGCAGAATCTTAGAGCAAGAACCTGGGTGTTGTAGGCACACATGGAACCAGTGGAAGCTGCTTAATCAGACCAAATAATAGTATAAGGTTTGGAGTTTCAGTGCCTTCAAAATATATTTCAGCCTGTTCCTCCTTGGCTCAGAGTTACTGTCTGATTTGCAACACAGACATAGTAGAACTTCCCAATTTAGGACATATCTTGGCACCAATATCCCATATAAAATCAGAATAATTAAATCTTCATGGATCAGTTATTCTAGCTCAAAGTGAATTTGTTCAATATTGGGAAACTGGTACACTGTTAAAACACTAGCAAAGAACCCAAAAGCCATTCCAGTTGCATCCTCTGTGCAGGAAGTTGAGTGCTGTCCATAATTTCAAGGTGCCTGTCCCATCTCCAATGTTGTCACATCACTGTTCTTGATTAATTTACACCCCACAGCTCCATTTGTTTTTAAGGACACAGAGAATTCAGAAGTGAAAATTGGTAATTAATGCACTTCATACAGGGTGCACCATATAAACCCAGAAGTGGGTTTTGCATGTGCAAGCAGCTTTTTTTGGTTCAAAAAAGGAAAAAAAAAAAAACAACCAAACCCTACTCTTGCTGGATTTAGTTTCATTCACATCCATGTCTAACCAGGAACACAGGGCAGTCTACTATTCCTCAAGCAACCTGGCAAAAACCCAAAAAGCTGAGAAAGCAGAGCCAAGAATGAAGCAAGAAAACGGATTTTAGTTTCAAGCTGAAGTTAACAACACAGAAAAGTCATTTTTAAATTACTCCTATTCTCCTCCACATGAACTCGAAACCTTCGTACAAACTAAATAAGATGCCAGCTTTCAAGGACACACAGAGAGAGACATTGTGAGACATCAGAGGGTTTGAGGAGCTGAGCTGAGAATTACCTTGCTTGTTTCAGGGCTCTCTGGGTCGAACTGGACCTGCTTGGCTGCCAGCTCTCTGCCCGTGTCCACGTCGTAGCACAGGTACACGCGGCCAAAGGCGCCCTGGCCCAGCAGCTTCCCCCGGCGCCAGTTCATGGGAGCACTGGGAGCTAGAAGGGAACAGCAGTCATTTCTCCTCTCATTGCACTCTTTAAAATAAAAAAAAAGGGTTTTTCAAGGACTAATCTCTATTATACAGGGACTGAAGCAGGTATTCTGTATGTGAATAAACATGAGGTGCTCTCCCAGGGTAAGGAGTCAGTTGTCGCAGACAACTTTTATGAAAAATCCTTAAGATACTTTCTTCCTGAGAAGCCTCAGGAGGAAATGTAAACAATGGTTTACATTGTATGTAAACATACAATGTTGACCTCAGAATGTAAACAATGGTTACCTGCTGCTGTGGAATGCAACAGGCCAATCTCTGATTGGCCCATCTTAAATGTTTCTAATTAATGGCCAATCACAGCCCAGCTGGCTCAGAGAGAGTCAGAGAGAGCTGCCTTTGTTATCAATCCTTTCTATTCTTACCCTAGCCAGCCTTCTGATGAAACCTTTTCTTCTACTCTTTTAGTATAGTTTTAATGCAATATATATCATAAAATAATAAATCAAACCTTCTGTAACAGGGGGTCAGATCCTCATCTCTTCCCTCCTCTGAAAACCCCTGTGAGCACCATCACAGTCAGTGGCAGAGCTCTGAACAGAATCCAACCACCCAGACCCTCAAGGATCTCCTGACTGATGTCCCATTAAAATGACACCACCAAACATTTTGCAAATGTGTTTTACAGACCAGTTATTCAGTGGGGTTGGTGAAATTTCATTCCACCAGCGGGTGGATTCTACAACATCATTACTTTAAAAAGATGATGCAGCAACTAAGGAGCAACCCTTGCTCTGCAGTTATCACATGCATCAGATGAAGAAGAGCTGGATTAGCCTTGCTAAATCAATCCAGCCAGCTGGGAATGACTTAAGCTTCTGGGACAACTTGAAGGACATTATTCTGAGTTTCTTTGCCAAGCTAGTTTGGGGTTAACCTCTGTGGGAAGGATTTTACTGCAACCATAAAGATTAGAATGGTTAGAATCTCTCTAACCATAAAGATTAGAATGGTTAGAATCTCTCTAACCATAAAGATTAGAAGTCACGATTACCTACTAGACATGGATAAAACAGGGTCTGTGTTAGCACAGTGTGGGTACCTTCTTCACCTGCTGGACAGTTAGATTTAATAAAAATACCCATGAGACCCAGGTAAAGCAGCATCTCCAACAGCCCAGCAGGAATTTCCATCCTCAGGGCACTGGGAATTCTCACATTCATAAACAGCAGTCTCCTGACCCAGAGATTAATACCTGAGCCCAGTTTTTCAGACTGCCCTTAATCCCAAAGCATATTACTCAAAGACAAGTGCTCTAGCTCCAATTTTGAAAGCAACTCTAACAAGAAACTCTAAAAACAAAGACAAGAACCAGCCATCTGAACAGTGTGAAAATACAGAAGAGCTGAGAGATTTGCTTTGACATGTCTAATTTAATCAGATTTACTGCCAGGCAGTATTTTAGTGTGTTCCTTATTCTTCATTTTGATCCTCAAATTACTGTATGGGATATACAAAGTTCTTCAATAATGACTTATGTTCCACTTATTTTTTATTTTTATAATAGAAAGCTGTCCAACAAAACAGCTCAAGGATGCCATTAATATAGAAGTAAATCCTTCTACTAAGGAGCAAATGAAATACATACAGAATAACTGTAACCCTGACTGAAAATGGTAACATAGCAAGAAAATAAACAAGCTTGTCTGCCTGTTTTAAGAACCCTGTAGATCATCTAGATCAAGCAAATTTTTACCTCTTAGCTGAGTTTGCAATGCTTTCTAAAGGAAAGAAGAAGAAATCTGAGAAGAAAAACACTTGTGGGTGTGACAAACAAGTCCCAAAGCCACAGGGCATGAGTGTGACCGTGTTCACAGGGGTCTGAGGATGAGGGAAGAGATGAGGATCTGACTCTATGTTTCAGAAGGCATGGTTTATTATTTTATTATATATATTATATTAAAACTATACTAAAGAAATAGAAGAAAGGATTTCATCAAAAGGCTAGCTAAGAATAGAAAAAGAAAAAAGAAATAGAAAAATAGAAAAAGAAAAAATCATAAAGGCTTGTGTCTTGGACAGAGAGTCCCAGCCAGCTGATTGACCATTAATTAGAAACAAC